CCAAAGGCTTCTCAGAAGCCCCCAAATGTTTTTAAGAAGCACCCCGCTTTCTAAGAAGCCCACACCCCTCCCCCTACCACCCTCAACGCGCCGCCGATCAACATAGGGGCGCTCGCCCGCCGACTGACGTCGGATGATAGCACATTGGAGTGAACAAACGTCTTGTTGACCGCACGAGACGAGAGAAGACCTTGTCCGATATGGGGGCAGCGCTGGACCTCGATTTTCACTGTTTTGTTAAAACTTTCCATAGCCTCGGTATCAGCGTGCCATCGAGCACACAAGTCTCGAGCCCAACGATGGAAATCTGGGTGTAGCTCTCCCTCGGTCCCAATGCAATGCTCGAGGTCATCCCGCGCGATGCTCCTGCGGCTGTGCGGGGCCGGGGGTTGGCGGCACTCGCGCGGGGGGGTGCTGCCCCTTTCCCCTCGAACCCCCCATCTAAGGACTCTTGGGAGTCCGAGGGGAGAGAGGGCAACAGGCGACATGGGGGAATGGTGGAGTAGGGCCATAGGGGCCGTAGGGACCATGAACCTTCCTCCCTCCTCCACCCTCCTTCTCATCCTACTCCTCCTCCGCCTCCTCCTCTCCCCTCCCCTCCCGCGCCGGCAGGAACGAGCGGCGGGTCTCGACCAAGGCCAAGGCCGCCGCGCGATTGCCTGCCTCTCCTGTCTCCCTCCCCCAATCCCTCCCCCCCCGCCATCTCGACTCCCCCCCGTGACTCCCCCGCCCCCCTTTTTGCCAGCTCCGGAGCTTGACGGCGTTGATTTCCGTGGTGGCCGGGTCGAGAATTTCCTGGGCGACGGCGAGCCTCTTGGCGCACTTATGCCCCGGCCGCTTGTATCCAAACAACAAGATCGTGGCAGGCAACACGTGGATCCTGTCAAGGACCCTGCACTTAAAGTTGGTCGCGCACGCCGTGCCAAGTTCGATGCCGCACGACGCCAGGTCGAGCACTGGGGAGTGCCGATCACCATCATCACCAGCATCTTGCTGATTAGTTGCCTCATCATCCAACAAGAACTGCTCCCAATATGAAATATCGCAGGCCTCGACGGCCTCCTTGTAAATTTCTTCACCCTTGTACCACACGAGATGTGCCAGGGCGCCCGCTCCAGATTTCCTCACAAGATCATCGTGGCTCTGGAGGAAGTGCCTCAGGTGCACCCACGGGCGGTCAGCTTTGTGAGATAGCCCCATCATCGACCAGAAGAGGTTGCACTCTATGGCGCTCATGCTCTCCACCGCCCATTTGCTCATCTGCTGACTGTAATTGCCAGAGCCCCCCAGCTGCGCCTCCTGCCAGTGCCACCACCACCCCGCCCCTTCCACCTTCTCTCGGGGGGGACGTAAGAGTGACCTTTGGCATGAGTGACCTTTGGCGCGCACAAATCTGCCTCAAAATCGGCCCCCCGGACCCCTCCCGGGGCCCAGACTGACCCGTTTTTCGAACTGCGCCCAGACGATGGGGCCCCCCCGAGGGCCAAAAAGCCGCGCACCAAAGGTCACCCCGGCGAAGGGTCACTCTTACGCGTCGGCGACTCTCGCGCCTCGAACCCACCCTTCCCGCGCTCCGGGGAAGGACGGGGGGGGTGGGCTTGGGAAAAGGCTGTTGCGGGAGAAGGTGGAGGAGGAGGAGGATAGCCTCGATCGTCATGATCCAGGACAGGTTCTCTGCCAGGTCGTCCTTCTTGCGCCGCTTGGACTGCTGCCTGCGGGCGACCCCTTCCTCCCTACCTCCTCCGCCCCCCCCCCCTTCCTCCCCCTACCTCCTCCTCCTCCCCCTTCCCCCACATGCCACCCCCCTTGGACGGGGCCCCCGCCCCCCTCGAGACGTCGGTTACGTTGGCGCGTCCCCGCGCCTGGTCCTCTTGCCCAGCCCCAGCCGCATGACGGAAATGAACACACGCCGGGGGACCTTCAACAGCAGCTGCTCGCACTCGTGCTTCGAGCCCCAGCGCGAGGGTACCAGCTTGGGCGGCATCGTTGCACAGAAATGGGAGCTGCCTCTATCAACATCGTGCCAAATGTAGTACATCGAACTCGCGTGATCCCTCCAGCAGTTCATAACTTTCATTAATGAACAACAATACTTCATTGGTTTGATGTCTGGCTGAAACTTTTTGACCAGTCGGATAAGCATTGAATCCACTACTTTCAACAAGTCAAGGTTGCCCAGGCTAGCCTGGTGTTGAAGACAATCCATGTCATACATCATCACGCGAGGGTTGAGAAGCGCAACAGATCCCAATATGCGCTTCCGAGTCGCAAGGATATCACCACCAGCATCCGTCGTCATGGCGCACGTGTAAATGCACTGTGGATCATCTCCCAAGTCGCACCAAACGTGGGCGCCAACTGATTTCATCTGCTTCTTAATCACACCTTCTAGAATCTCTGGCGTGTTGCCAGGGAGAGGGATGAGGTCGGCGTACAATGTCTTGCCAACCTGGACACGGCTGCTGCACGGCACTTTGAAACTCGATTGAACGCTGAGGCCATGCAACTTCTGCTTATGTTGCCACAGCGCGGTATTCGTAGCATCACAACGAATTCTAAATGATCTGAAAGATGAGAAAGCCCGCATCTGGCCTTGCAACAACAAGTAATCTGATAAGTGTTGCTGAAGCATCTTAGCTGAGCCCAACAAACTAGCAGCCGTCTGGATCTCCCACCTGCATATGGTCTGGTAGTGCGTGTCCAATCCCAAAACCAACGACGTTTTTGAAGCGGCCATGTTCGACAGCGTCCTCCGAAGAGCGATATGGCAGCCCCTGTAGACAGGCATCCGCGTGTAGGACATGCCTGCTCGAGACCATGGAACCACGGAGTGCGCCTGAGGGAGCCCCCAACTATTTCGAGCTGCGGCAAGTCGACCGAGTGCTCGAGTGCCGCCAGGGGCGAAGAAGACTGCCAGGGCCCTCCCCCCTCTGACCCAGGGCGCAGGCCAGCAAGGGCCAGCATTATGGCTGGATTACCCACCGAGGGCCCGGCCGCCTCGAAGCGACCGCGGAGGGGGTCGGATCCCTGGCAGCGGTTTGCCCCTGACGGCGGTGTGGTCATGTGGCGACTGTGGCGACAGCCCAGATCCTGCGCGCACCCCCCTCCGCCTCCTCCTCCCTTTTCTTCCCGAGAGGGGCCCGAGAAGAAATAGGAGGAGGAGGAAGGAGGAGGAGGAGGAGGATGTGAAGATGGAAGAGGGGAGGGGGCCGACCGACAGAACGCGGGGTGTTGCCAGACTGGCAGGGCCGCGAGGTTGCACGCGTAGGGCAGTTCGTCTCGGAGAAGGGCGAGTCGAGACACTGGAAATTGAAAATCGGTTCAAAATCAGCACCCCATTTTCCGAGTTGCGTCCAGCCGAGGCGACGAGGGACCCCGAAGCCAACTACCGGTGTCTCAAAGAGCCTGGCGTTTTGTCGGTCGGCCCCCTCCCCTCTTCCTTCTTCTTCTCCTCCTCCTCCGACTCCGACTCCTGGAGTCCTGGAGCCGTCGCGCCTCCGCCTCCTCCAGCTGGCGCTCCAACTCCTCGATCCTGAGCTTCGCCGCCCGGTTGGACTTCCGGAGGGCCGCGATCTGCCGAGTCGTCTGCATCCGCCGAGACCTCGGGGCGAGATCGACGGGGGCGGGCGGGCGGGGAGTATCATCAGCAAGCAAGACCTACCTTGTCCTGGGGCCGGCCCCGCTCGACCGCGGGAGGGGGGAGGTCGAGGTCGAGG